AATAAAAGGATTGGTCCAGAAAACAGTGATGCAGAAACCTCCGCCTTCTTTCTCAGCTCTCCAGATTCTTCATCATTACATTCTGTCCCATAATCTCTTGCCTTATCCTTTCCAACTCCTTTGCCAATCTCCTCCCACGCCTCTTATTCCCCATCACAATACTCTTCAATCCTCTCGTTTCCTTTATTAAGGATGTCTGCAACTCTGCCCTCTTCGCCAAACTCGTCTTTAGACCAGACCAAAGGCGATGGATTTAAGCTCAGGTTACTTGCTGGCCTTCTCTCACATGGTCTCGTCCATCCTACCGATGGCGTCGTCGGTCACGGTGATGTTGGTGGTAGATGCAGTTGTGATACCCTCGGCACGCACGACTCGCCGCCTAAGAGTACCACTGTCATCTATGCCTCCTCAGCGGTTAGGCAAACCAACTCAGTTTCCACCTCGGGACTGACCACATGGACATCCTTCGCCTCTACTTCCACCACCGACCCTCCTTGAGGGGCCAGAAGTTGCTGACACCGGTCTTCAGCTAGTGCGGAAGAAGAGAAGAGCCTAGAAGAAATCCATTACAGACCAAATGTTCAGTGTTCAAACAATGATACCAGCATTGGCGTTGCTGAGTCAATCAATTTTGCTGCTGTTTAAAGGCTAGAAAGGTGCAGCTATATCCTCAAGATCAAGGAGGTCAAACATCCACTTTGCTACACAGTTTACTTCAATTGGCTACAAAATAAATAACAAAAGGCAAAAGGAAACAACATCCTTACGCATAGATTTTGCAGCAATGGTGATTGTCTCTGAGCCACCTTGGACATTTATCAGTGTTATGAAAGGGTTAAATTGGATTTAGGGGTCCATCTGTACAAAAATTACAACGAAAGGAGAGAGGCCAACATTTACAAATGGCTGATTTCGGGAGGTCAAAATAGAGTTAACCGATTACTCCTATAACAATCTCACAGCCAAAACACTGGAACCCTAAGCAATTCTTCCTAATTTAAATGGGAAGGAGGTGACCTTCATAAACTCAGCAAAGGTTAAGTACTACTGAGTAACCACCTATAGCCAGCAATGGTGTTTTTCCAGAGAGCACAATACACGAATCCTGCAAAGTAGGCAACAAATCATCAATGAATGACAATATTTGAGAAAGAGGGGAGGGATGAGAGACGGATTCGGAGACCTGCCCTTACGTTACAATTTCATCTGCTATCAATCAGGCTAAGCACAGACTAATTATGAGCTCTCAAATTCACAGAGATCAGGGGAAGATAAGGGGTTGTACCGAGGCCAGGAGGACAATACAAGAAGGATAAAGAAGAGAAAGAAAATTGAACCACTTTTTAGGGAATTCCAAGCCTCTACCGAAACTATCCCTGCTTTAATACAAGTTGATGCAAGTAAAGCGTAAGAAAACGGACCCAAAGGTAAAAAA